AAAAAAAAACGTGTTTTGAAGAAACAAGATCTTTCAGAATTATCATGATATTTTGTATTGCCGTATACATAATTGTATCACAGTTACATAATATCATCTGTATACTGTCGTCAAAGCCTAAACTAATTAAAATGAAAAAAAAAAACAACATTTGCTTATTCTTTTCGGATTTGACAGTTTATAATCTATCTTCTCTGTACTCCAATGCCAAAGACAGAGACCTATGTTATAACAGAACCAAATATAGATAAGTTCTGCTCTCAAGCGCTTTTTTTTTGTATACTATCTAAAATCAAAAAAACAACAAAATTTGTTATCGTTTATGACAGTCTTTCTCATATTTTTCAATTTTTTCGTAGACGTTAAAAAATTTAGTTTCACTTTTCATACAACGTTCTTCCTAAGCTACCTGGTCTTTTGCAAACATCAATGCAGTTTAAAACTTTTCCAGAGATCTTGCAGCAAAAGTTGGTTTGCTTTTCTGCTTCTCTAGTGCAAGTAAAGTGATTAGATATAACTGCTACATCGACTATTTACCTGGTTATTCACGAGCGCATTCCTACTGATAATTTAACCGTTATCTCAAAAGCAAATACAAATTATCTTTTTAGTTGAAGTCACTTTTACGGTCTGACTGGAAACAGAGATATTGTTTTAATCTATTATTAGATTCTTACCTGTATACAAAACAGTAAAAATGTTTTCACGGTTCAGATTTGTAGTCTTAAGTGTTAATTTACAAAGTTCAGTCGTAGCTTCTTGGGCTGTTATTGATTTATCAAGAGATCTAGAATTTAAGATGGTCCCAGCTGTGGTAATTTAAAACACACTAAGTAACCGTTTCAATGCCTTCTTTAAAATAAGTTTGATAAAAACAGTAGTCTTGCTTCAATTATACTTTAGCATAGCAGCTTGTTTTTATCTAAAAATCTGTGTTTAAATGTTCTTTAAGCTATTCGCACTGCAACTGCCGTATTCACTCATTCTTAATAGACAAAACAGAATTCTATTTAAAGCCATGACCCAGAAGTGAATTTCGAAAAAATTGCTATTCGTGTAGAAATTCAATTCGTCTAAACACTGTAGCACAAACTAATCAAAGAAGCTTCTGTAACCTCTGACACTAAGTACCGACAAGGTGATGCCCAAGCTGTACAAAACAGTGCAAAAAATTTCCATTGCAAAAATTAAACGGTCTGCACTAAGCTTTAAACAAAAAATAACATCTTTATGGTCAATATCACCATTGTCTACAAATACATTGCTTCAATTTCTTTTTGAAACTGTTTTTCCAAACGTTTTCGGCGTACTTTAAATGCTGCTGTCACCAGGCCACTGTTTGGTGCCCATATTTCGTGGCATAAATGAATTTTTCGTGGAATCTCCATCTTATGTAATTTTCCTAAATTATGATAAGCGACTAAAACATGAAGAAAAACATGGAACTGACAACGCGAATAACAAATCGCTAAATTGATTCATAATTTTACCCTTTTTTTGTTGCTTTCAAAACACTTAGAAGTGTCAAGAGTGTTTTCTGAGAAATTCTTATTCTCATTTCACGGCTTAATAAAATATTAAATTTTTTATTGCCTTGCTTTAAAATGCATAAATTTAACGTCTGAAGAAATTTTTATAAACATCTTACTTACCATTACAATAACTGTTTAGTTCTTTTAACAGTTCATTTTTCAGTACTTCATTTTTGCACAGATTTTCAAAGTTTGTTTCATTAATTCCTATCTGAAAAAAAGGGTAGCTTTCTGTCAATGTTCACAGCACCATTCATGTTTAACATCTCAGCAATCAACGATATCATCTGCAAAATTATTATTATATAGACTAATTAACTGTGTGATAAATTCCTTACCGTTCGAGCCAGTTCAAACAGCTTTTCTTGACGAGGAACAATGAGTGCTACCACATAGTCCTAAAAAAGATAATTTTTGGCAACTAGTATATTCAAATAATAAAAAAAAATACAAAACACATCAACAAAACATTTTTTGTAATAATTTTTTTATTTCTTTCACATGACAACGGCTTTTGTGCCTTTTTAGACTTATCAGTTGCTTCAGTAACCACTAAAAAAGAGAGGATTAGAAGAGAAAAACTGCTTGTTCAGTATTATTACAAGCGTGAAACTTAATTCAGCAAAGACTATTATTAATTACTTACCCTCATTTGATTTGCACAAACACAAACATTTTCGACATACGGCATAGTGGCTATAAAAGCTTCAAGCTTACCAAGTGAAACATATTCACCTTGCGCTAATTTTACCAGATCTTTTTTACGATCTATAAATACGGTTATTGGCAGTAGAGGTCAAGTATTAGAGTAAACTGAAACAAAAAACTGCATTTCATAAAAATGTTTTTGTTTTTTTTCTTTATTTATTTTTTTTTATTTTACCTATAATACGGAATGATCCATCTGGTTGCGCTTCGGCAATGT